GTCGTCCCCAGGCCCAAGGAGCCACAGACCCCCAGCGAGTCGCCGCGGCGCAGAGCGCACGCAGAACCGCTGCTGCGATGACGTCCATCAGGTCTCACGCTGCGGAGCTGGCAAAACGCGGTGCGACAGCTTGCGTCATGTCACACCGTGACCGAGCGAGCTCGTCACCTGCGCAGACAGCGCCCAGGCCACAGCTGCAACCGCCCAGCTGTGCCCGGAGCGCCGGAGCCGGCCTACGCAGTGAGGAGAGGGCCGTCCATCCCTCACCGCGACAGCCTGGCGTTGACTTTTTAACCCTTTCACACGTTCACAAAAAAAGCCACAAATAATTGTGAGAATTAAGAGCTTATCGATCTTTCAGATGCACAGCTGCCAGCCCCATCAGGCGCGCTCGGCTTCCTCCTCCGCCCCTGCACGGGGCGTCCTGCCCATGGTGTAGAACTCCTCGTTTGGGCGCAGGTCAACATAATGAGCGATGCGATTAGACATAGCAAAAAAAGCAGAAATCATGCCTATGTCCCAGGCATCTTCACGGTCAAAACCATGCCTCTCCAGCTTCTGGAAATGCTCTTCAGTGATGTTATCAGCGCGACAGACCGCCAGAGCAAACTCCAGCATTGCCAAGTCCCGGTCACTCAGGTCAGCCAGTTTCCAGTTCACAATGACCTGTGAGAAGGCAGAAACCAGAGGTAGCACAGACGGACTCAACAAACAGTCTAACTAGCCGACCAACTTCTCTGCTCTGCAAACCCAAAGAGATGGCAGTACACAGGCTCTTACTCAGGACCAACCAGACATCCTGGCTACCATCTGACAAAAGACTTGTCTATTTTATTGCCCTTTCCACCTCAGGGACTGTGGCAGTTTGGCTGAGCAGGCTACAGAGGAGTTGAAACAGGACCATCTAAGGAACCTGAAGGTGCACAAGTTCATGGGACCCAATGAGAGGCATCCGTGGGATCCAAGGGAACTGACGGATAAAGTAGCTAAGCCACTATCCATCATAATTAAAAAGTCGTGGCAGTCCAGTGAAGCTCCTACCAACTGGACAAGGGAAAACACAGCCTTCATTTTTAAAAAGGGAAAAAAGGAAGAACCAGGGAACTACAGGCCAGTCAGTCGCACCTCTGTGCCTGGCAAGAACATGGAACAGATGGTCTTGGAAACTATGCTAAGGCACATAGAAAAATAAGGAGGTGACTGGTGACAGCCAACATGGCTTCACTAAGGGAAAATCCTGCCTGACTAATTTGGTGACCTTCCATGAGGGAGTTACAGTATTGATGGATAAGGGAAGAGCAACTGACATCGTCTACCTGGACTTGTCCAAAGCATTTGACACTGTCCTGCATGACAACCTTGTCTCTAAATTGGAGAGACATGGGTTTGATGGACAGATCACGCGGTGGATAAGAAACTGGCTGATGGTTGCACTGAAAGAGTTGTGGTCAACAGCTCGATGTCCAAGTGGAGACCAGTGATGACTGGTGTTCCTCAGGGGTCGGTATTGGGACCAGCACTGTTCAACATCTTTGTCGGCAACATGGACAGTGGGATTGAGTGCACCCTCAGCAAGTTTGCTGACTACACCAAGTTGCGTGGTGTTGTGGACACGCTGGAGGGAAGGGATGCCATCCAGAGGGACCTTGACAGGCTGGAGAGGTGGGCCTGTGAGAACCTAATGAAGTTCAACAAGGCCAAGTGCAAGGTCCTGCACATAGGCTGGGGAAATCCCAAGCACAAATACAGGCTGGGCAGAGAATGGATTGAGAGCAGCCCTGAGGAGAAGGACTTGGGGGTGTTGGTTGAGGAGAAGCGCAACATGAGCCAGCAATGTGCACTGGCAGCCCAGAAAGCCAACTGTATCCTGGGCTGCATCCAAAGCAGCATGGGCAGCAGGTTGAGGGAGGTGATTCTGCCCCTCTACTCTGCTCTCCTGACATCCTACCTGGAGTACTGTGTTCAGCTCCGAGGCCCCCAGCATAAGGATATACACCTGTTGGAGCGAGTCCACAGGAAGGCCACAAAGATGATCCAAGGGCTGGAGCACCTCTGCTATGAAGACAGGCTGAGAGAGTTGGGGTTGTTCAGCCTGGAGAAGAAAAGGCTCTGGGGAGACCTTCTAACAGCCTTCCAGTACCTAAAGGGGCTACAAGAAAGCTGGAGGGGGAGTTTTTACAAGGGCGTGTAGCGATAGGACAAGGGGCAATGGCTTTAAACTGGAAGTGGATAGATTTTGATTACATCTAAGGAAGAAATTCTTCACTCTGAGGGTGCTGAGGCACTGGAACAGGTTGCCCAAAGATGGATGCCACATCCCTGGAAGTATTCAAGGCCACGTTGGATGAGACTTTGGGCAACCTACACTAGTGGAAGGTGTCCATTCCCATGGCAGGGGGCTTGGAACTAGATGATCTTTAAGGTCCCTTCTGACCCAAACCATGCTATGATTCTGTGACCCAATGTCGCCAGGATGCTGCAGCTCCCCATTTGTAGGAAGTTCCTCCACAGACCACATTAAAACAGGAATGAATGTGGGCAGCAGGATGAATGCTCTGCAGGTCAACCATCCCTCCCGCATCTTGTTTGAGGGTGGATAAGGATACACAGACCCACACCTCAAGGTCTTACCCCCAGTGGCTACTGGTCTGACTGCTTACCAATAAACTTAGTAAGCCAGGTATTGAGTTGAGGCCCCAGACATGTCAACATGGCTCAAGATTGCTGGGAAGCACATAGATCAAAGGTTCAAAATATAGATTAAGGATCAAAACTTCAGGTGAAAAAGCAGATACTAGAGGGCTGTTCCCACCTCCCAAGGGACCATGTGAAGGAGGTGGGGCGCACACTGTTGTAACCCAACTGACCTGGTCAGCCAGCGCTGGCTGCTTGGAATATATCCGATGAAGGGCTCCATGTGCAACCACACAGTAGGGACATCTATTCACAACACTTGTAGCCACAATTATGAGCTCTTTGTCTGCCTTGCTGAGTCGCCCTAGAGGGACAGCAAAAGATTTGGCACACTTCACTATTAAAAATGTCCACCACAGCAAGTATCACTAGGGAAACGTGGACGGAAAGACTCTAGGTACAAGCGGCCTGCAGTACGGCCCAGGAGACAGAGGCCCAGAGAACATGCAGGGAGACGCTGCAACCAGAGCTCCTAGGTGACAGGACAAGGGTTTTAAACTGAAAGACGGTATGTTTAGAATGGACATAAAGAAAAAATGTTTTACAATGAGAGTGAGGTGAGACCTGGGACAGGTTGTCCAGGGAAGGTATAGGTGTCCCACCTCTAAAGTGTTCAAGGTCAGGTTAGATGGGGCTTTGAACACCCTGATCTAGTGAAAGATGTTCCTGCCCATGGCTGGGGGTGTTGGACTAGATGATCTTTGAAGGTCCCTTCCAACTGAAACAATTCTATGACTCTATGATCATCCAGGCGACCAATTTTCCTGGATGGTTGTTCGTAAGACACCTCATTAGGATGAGGGACGTGAAATTTGGTCATCAGGGAAACAACAATTTTACATAACAGTAAAACTTAAGAGCACCAAAATTACTTGCTCACAGAGTAGAAAGCTTGGTTGGTACTTCTCCATCTATGTCCCAGAGGCAAATGGCTAGGGAGGGTGTTGTTTGTTCTTTTTCTGATGCTTTATTGCTGCTTTTACAGAAAAGTGCAGTGTTCTAAAACCCATCAAGCAGGTTTTGGCAAGTAAACATTACTGGCAGCTTTTGAAGGCAGAAAGAAGAAACCAAAAGGAACAATGAAGCACCCTAGGACTGTGGCTTTGAGAACTTTGAGAACAGACAGACAAACCACATACAGTGTCTAGCCCTGTGACTGCTCTAAACAAGTTGTGGAAAAGGTGGCTGTGCACTGTTATACTCAGAATAAATCCTAATCATTTTCACAAACAGCTTCACAACAGGACTGTGCACAAGAGATGAGGAACTTACTTGGCTGCATATCAGCACTCATGCTCTTTGCCTTTTTAAGATAATTAGCAGCAGGGATTTTTTGAAACTGCACTTCACAGGGAAGGTCAGAGTCTCTCATCCTCCCCACAAAAGCTACTGCTTTACTGGACTTTGAAAATATTTCCATAAAATCAGTGTCTTCTAAGAGCATGAAAGACTACTAAAACCTCCTGGGCAAAGAGGAGTCAGGAGAAGAGGCCTTCTTGCTCTGGTTCAGAGCCAGAAGGCTGCAACACCGTGATACTGCAGGAGAGATGCTGAAGAGGGTAGGATCCAAAATAGTCCTACTCTTCAAGTCAAACAAAAAGGAAGCATGGGAATGAGAAGGGAAAAACAGACCCTCATACAACTAGGGGCATGGCTTCACTCCAGCAGCACAAGCAGAGCAGGGACCTTCACAGAGAGACTGCATGTACCATGTGGGAGAGGCATAAGTGTGCACTCCTTCCTGCCTCCAGAACTTGCCAAGACACTCCTCTTGAGCTCTCATCTCTCATAAGCAGGAGGAGCAGTTTACATGCGCCAGTTTATTTTACAAAAGCTGGGTTTTACTAATGCACCTTCAGAGCAAAAGCAATGAGAACAGGTCTCTCAGTGCCCAGTACCACAGGAAGTATGAGGGAGAAAGAGGCAGTCCTCAAACTGCGTTTCCTCAAAGGCTGGAGCCACGCAGAGTTCCCTACAGTGCTGCCCAGCAGCACTGCTGCAGCCAGCCCTCCCTTGTCTCCACACCGGGCACCCAGAGGCTGCCTGGTGCACAGGTGTCCTAGCGTGCAGCAAGCACCTCGGTCCTCTCCCTGCTCATGCAGGGCATGGACACCCCTGGCTTCAAAGTCCCCAGTGCAGCATGTCAGGTCCCAGAGGGCACAGCCTCCCTCACACAAATTTTGTGCACTGCTCATGGGCAGCTCATCACCAAGAACCTGTGAGCAGGCTCAGCAGGGACCTGCCCCTCCCCTGGTAGCTGTTTTATGCTGGGCCCTAAGCTGTGACCCCACCTGAGCCACACTGTGCCTGTGGTCCCTGCCTGCATAACCCTGCTGGTCTGGAACCTGACTGATCCCCAGGCCAACTTTCTGGCTTGATTTTGGATCTGCCTCGTTCCCACAGACTTGTCTGGGAAACCTGGACTCCCAGCTGGCCCTGGTCACCATGGTCAGACCCGCCCTACTTGCCTTCTCTGGTAGGTAGTACAGGTCTGCAGTCTTGCCCATGAAACCACAGCCTCTGCCTGCACCCTTCCAGCACACTCAGCTCCTGGGTGACAGAATCATAGATTCATCTTCCCTTAGTCAGCAGCCCGTTCTTTGTCGTAACACAGAACGCAGTGCAGTGAGGCAGCAGAGCATGGCTTCAGAGCTGCTTTTTAACCACAAGCTAAAGAGTGTGAAGCTGTATGCAATATAAGCGAAGCCAGAAGCAGCAGTGCAGGTTCCAGCCTCTGCATCTGTTATGATGGGCTGGGGGAAGGCACAGTGAGGCAATACATCGGAGGACGTCAGAAACGTCACTTCGAGCAGCTTTTCGCATCTGCAAAGGGAAGGGCAGTTTTGAGGTGGTTGTGTGGTTTACCTGTGTCTTTGTTCATAATGGCATTGTAATAAGCAAAAAAAGCTCTGAATTCAGCAGGTCGGTGGGACATGGCTTTGAACACATTGGGCAGAAATCCGGTCTGTTCAAGGAAAAAGGAAAACGAGTCAAGAACTGTAACTTAACACAGAGCACAGAGGGTGATGTTAACGCACTAGGCTTAGAGAACAATTTGCTAGCGCAGCAGTGCTGGGAAATCTCTGCAGACCCATTCTCTTGCCCTTTGAGCATAGTTACATGTGACTGAACACGTAATGATGTGGTTCTTAACTAGGTGTTGCTGCAGTTTCATAGCATGACTGATAGTTGCGCTCACTTCAGCCACAACAGTGACATCAACAAGCTCCTTTGCAAACATAAACCTCTTTTACTCTCCTCTTCCTTCTGAGCTTACAGCGCACAAGTCAGGGCCAGCCCAATCCCAACAGCACACCATCTGAGGTGCCAGCACTCCGTGGATGTACATCCTGGCACAACGACGCTGCCGTACTTCTCTCCCTGTTCTGCCCCTGGTAACTGCCAATGCCCAGTCCACCTCTGTGACAGCATGCAAGGCTGCCTGTCCCAGAGAATCGCTTGCTGCCGTTCCCGTGCAGGATCAGCCGATGCAGCACCCACCCATGCCTGGGTCACAGCAGTGGGTATTTATCAGCAGGGGTTCAGCCTCAGTGTCTGGCTGCCCACTGCAGTTCTAAACAGTCTGGTTTCGCTGTGATTGTGGTAACTGCCCACAGGCTCCACCAGCTTACTGGCTGCTGTTCTTCAGAGTGTTTATGGAAAAGGAGAGTAGCCCAGGTGTCACAGATCCCTCTGGCAACCTCTCTCCACTGCCACACAATTGCCTGTGTCTTTCTCATGTCTCACCGGTCTGTTTACTGGTAGTTAACCACAGGGAGGCTCTTCCCTCTTCCTCCACAACCCACTAGTTTACTTCGGAGCCTCTGGCAACAGAAGTTGGCAGCACTGTTTGGACATCCAAGTCTGCTAGGTTGATTCGATCCTATATGTCAGTCTTTGCTGATGCCTTCAATGCACTAACACACAGGGGTCTCCATCACAGTGGGTGAAATTTGAGCTGACTCTTCTTCTATATACTGTATTTACCCTCAAGTGTGCTGACTCCTTTTGTTATTACACAAATTTCACCAGGGCCACTACAACGGTAGCAGAACACAGATTCAATAGGCCGCACGAAGGATAGAGAGGGACCAGCCCTCTGCTGAGACAACACTTGGAAGAGAGAAGTCTCCACGGAGCTGTGGCTGGTTCAGTGTTTTAGCCACCAGGAAGGACTGTCTGGCATTCCTTCTCCACAACAGCAGGGAAGGAAACTCTTGCCCAATTCTCTCTTTTTCCTCCTATAAACAGCATTAGGCTTACTGCTTTGTCACTGCATAGCCCACTGGGCTTTGGAGAAAAAAAGTCAAAAGCAGAAATATCCCCTGAGCCTTTTAATACAGTTATCAAAACAGCTTCTCCCTTTTTTTTTTCTCCATTAAAAGTGTTAAAAATACTCCTGATAGTGTCTCAAGTAAACACAGATGCTCTCCCAGAAAAACACACACATGTCAGCGTTCCAGCTAACCCCATGCATAAGAAGACATATGAAACAACCTGCTAGTCTCATGGAACCAGGAAGACTTACAATCCTGTCCACACACCGCAGGACTTCCAGTAAAACCCTCATCCTGTCGACTAGAAGGTTTGCAAGAAGTGCTGCCCACCTCGGTCTCCTACCAGGTTTGTGTTAGACCTAACTGGACCAGAACCACTCTCTAAGAGTGTATGACCTACTCGGACTTTGAACCCTTTCCACTGAGTCTAGCAGCAGAACTCCTTTACCTTCATTTCTACTTCCTCCATGAGCTCAACAATGTCATACGGCATGTCCTTCTTATTGGGTACCGGGTATCGCCCAACAGGCCTTGGTCCGCTCTCTTTCTTGGTGCTGTATGCCACCTGGGACTGCCTCCAGGCATGCCCTGAGGCTCGGAGAGGCAGAAGCTGGGGAGAAAGGAGGGAGGAAAGTTTGTTATTTGGAGGGGCACGTTTCATCTCGGCAGTCTGGGGAGAGAGGATTTTTCCTCAGCTACTCCTGCTTTTCCGACAGGACTCAGGGGCACCTCTGTCACTGTAAGCCACTTGCTGCTCCATTAGCGGGGCAGACAATGCTCTGGAAAAGGAAATGCAAGCCCCATTCCTGGCTCGAGCTCTAAGCTGCTGTGTGGGTATCTGGCAAGCACCACGTTCCCACGCACCATCTCTGCTGCAGGCCACAGCTGCTGCTTTTTGCAGTCCGCACCAGCCGTGGATCAGCCCCTCTGCAGCAATGTTGAAACTACAGCACTTCCCAAGCTTAAAAGGCGCTTCCCGTCAATCTGCACACAGCAACATCACTGCAGACATCCATCAGTAGCCCTAACAACAGATCTCCTTCAACAAAGGAGCACAAAGAATAAATTCAAGGCCTTTTTTTTTTTTCTGCTCATCAGCCTTCCTGCAGGCAAAGCTGCCTTCTCTCCAGCAGAACAATCAGTGGCTCTAGAATCAGGCCTTCTGGAGGCCCAAAGCAAACAGCATTGTTATATGAGAACCACTGGAAACTGCCCTTCATAATGCTCCATTACTGTTAAGAAGTAGTGTGGTCTTGCAGCATCTAGGCTACAGGCCTCCTTAGCTCTTCAGCAGTGTTGCAAATGCTTTAGGAAAGCAGCTGCATCTTACAGCTGGGTGGGCTGGGCCTGAGAGTGGAGTGACTTGGTGTTGGGCAGTCAGTGCAGGTGTGGGAGCAGAGCCCAAGTGTCCCAGCACCCTGCTTGGAGGGTGCCTCAAGGGTCTTCCCAGCTATCCGGCACATATCACAGCAGCCCTGAATGTTCCCACGAACACTGCAACATTCCCAGTCACCCCACCACTGCATGGTGTCCTTCACAAATCTGGGGTGCAAACTAAACCTGCAGGATCACATGTTCTCCAAATGGTTTTGCTTGGCACATACTTGAGTTCTGGCCTGAAATGCCAGCACACCACTGCAACACAAACGAGTAACAGTGATAACCTCAGCTTGCTGCTATGAGGAAGATGCTGAAACAGCTGTATACACTGTCCCAGAATGTATCAGGTACCACCTATGAAAATGAGAAAAACACTAAGGCAAGTATAAACAAGAAAACCATCTCAGAAATAAAACTTCTGAAGGTAAGTGCAAAAATACACTGGGGTGCAACAAGTAGACTTATGGCCGTTGAAAGCAAGGATTCCAATCACATAAAGGTCAGCTATGTACCTGGTGGAAAACCAGAGCAATCAATCTGTATGCATCAACACGCACATCTGGTGGGCTCTCCTCTCTATTCGAGGACGCGGGCTGCGAGACACGGGGCAGCAGCTTGGCGGAGGGACGGCGCACAAGAGCTTGGCAGGCCTGCCCTCCCTTTTTGACGGCGTGCGACGCCCCGCGGGAGGAGGAGAAAACCTCCGTGGAGGCCGCGGCCGGGC